GAAATCTGCAACAAGAAGAGAAATAAATCACGTAATTGTTTCATTCAGTGCATGGCAGAATGGCAACAGCAGCTACTTGGCCAGGGTGGTTTTCATCTACCCATCGAATCTGCTGGTCACGTTACTATCAGTGCAGGTTAGTGTGATCGGTGCAAAAACATACATCATAGAGGTTTCTGAAAGCTGCATCCCTACAGCCTGCGTTCTAAGATTCGACGACTTTCCTAAACACAACTTCTGTCAGACCCGGCACAAAGACTTTGCGAGACAACTCATGGCCAATTGCGCACTCTTCAAAACGAGTGTTCCGTCCCTCATTCACCGACGACACCCTGGGGATGTTTCACTGAAGTGAGTTATACAACGGTTCACTACATCAATCATGATCAATGTAGACGGCAAGTGAGCATGTGAACTCCACATGATAACTTCAAGAATAAAAATGGGAGAAGGTTGGATGCTTAGTTGCATGAGCCATGCTTAAAGCGATGTATGCAAAGTTAACAAAACATTAACTTCCACTAAAGCTAATCAGTAAATTATATCTGTGAAACTGCTAAAAAGCTAACAGAAAATATAAATGTTGCGGTAATCGATTACTTTTTAAAACCTGGATGACTGATATCGGCTTAAGCTCATTTCAACGGTGATAATAAAGCTGGTTTTCTGGTGTCCGCCGGCATCCGGTCGAAATGTGTTCCGAGACACCGAACGGGCTAGTGCGTTTTGGTGAAAAACGCGTGATCTGTGCCTTGGTTCTTCGCATGCATCACGATCATTAGCTGGTGATGGGTTGTCGCTCTTAAATGAACCTGACCATTGTCACCGCGTGCTACAGCACTTGCTTCTGTTTTTAGGTTTGTGGGAAGGTCAAAAAATGTTAAAATAGCATCTTTTCGATAGTCAACCTCTGCCTGCTTCCAACGTCCCTGGCTTATTCCTTTGGTAGACGTGCAATGCATAGTCGAACGGACCTTTGGTACATGCCAGTATATCGCAGTATGTTCACAGCATGACAAAGTATTTCTGTGTGTTGACCCGGCCGCACTAAACACACACATTTTCTCGAAGTTTTTTATTTTTGTTCTCTCTGAGGTTAATGTAGGCATCCACTATCCCTTGCAGATTAACTGCTTCTGGATGATGCTTGTTCTCATGACAAAGCGTAACCACGTTTAGATGAGGCTGGCTCACAGAAGACCAGTTTTGATCGCATAGGTCACTTGCCTTGACCACAAGATGAGGAAGGCATTCCTGGCCTCTCAGTTGGGCATAAGCCATTATACAAAACCTTAACATGGCTGGAGAGGGTCTTCAGTCATGGCTCAGAACTCGTCCCTACATAATCACCCCGTTAGCATGGCCCCTGTTGGCACCATGTAGTCATACAGAAGAAAATAGTTGCCCACACGTGGATTATTCTCACACAAATTTTAACTTCCTTGCCTCCAATCATTTGACAACCTTGTTTGAATCCAGCCAGCTACATCAACGAGGTGCTTTGTACTGTCTTGCTTCCAAATGGACTAGCAACGAAGTGTTCATAGCTTCGATGCAACCAGCAGGGTTACATTTAGCTAACAATGGTACGTCTTCGCACACTTGGGTAATGCCGGCAACACACGGCGTTTGGACCGTTCTTTCGTTTAGGCCCACAGCCAACAGCCCTCCTGAAAGCAAGGAAATGTCGCGCGTATGTCCATTCTGAATGGAATCCTAATCTTACATATCGAATCCCGTGCAACCCAATTACTCCCACTGTGTTCCGTGTTGCCGTCAAAATGAAGGCACAAGAGCTTCACCACACAAGCGAATTTAACCAAATACATTCATTCATTATCTCGTTGTTAACGATACTGACCAATGATTTATTCAGAGCTCAGGCTTACATATTTGTTGTTCACCTTTTCTGAAATCTTCGCTCTTGATCAGAGCGGACGATACAGTAAAATACAATACTCCTTAAAAATAGGAGACACGCCCACTTCCGAGCCTTTGGTGACGCACAGGAAGGTAGGTTAATATTCTAACATTTCTGTCAGAAGCTATTTACAGTGTAAAATGATGCATGCGGTGGGGTATGGAGAGCCTGCGTCACCCTTTCGACATTTCTAATCTCGATTATCTGCTGATCAATAGGCCGACAACATATTCGAGACCGGTGTGATTCAAACGAATTTATTTGCGTGAAAACTTTTGAAATACTGGTAAATCAGATGTTCTACACGTGAACTCAGGAGGTTGTTTCATCAGTTATGATGCCAACTAAACTGCAGTTATTCCTTTTAACCCCTGAGTTGCAAGTGCTCCTTTTAAAGTCGTTGGTCGTTCGCTATTCCTGTGCTCACAGTTGGGAAGGCCAGTCTTCTGAAACAGGCTGCCTGAAGACCATTAATACAAAATGCAATTTTACCAACCGACTATGTTGAAATGAGTGTCACGGCTCCAGGAATATCCGGCCTTTCCTTCCTCTGCATCTATGTTTGTCTCACAAATGCGCTCAATTGTAAAGACACTGATCACGATTTCCCAGTCCTTCCAATTCGGGCCTCAACGTGTGACGTTATCATCCTAACGTCAAACGGCCGCATCCAACATCTCTCGTCTCGCCCACCGGTCCAGTACGCCACCGGCTGTGCGGGCGTGTAAATCCCAGAGCTGGAATGCCTTTATCTGCCATATGAAGTCGACCAGCCTGGTAATAATGCATTTCCAAGTCAGGACTCAATGAGTAACGTCATGATCCTGACGTCACGGGTCGGAACGAACAGCTCTCGTCGTTCTCACCGGGCCAGTACGTCACCACCTGTTCAGCCGACGAGTAGAGAAAATACCTTGACGAGCAAATTCACGTCAACGGCGATGAAGTCCCCAGGCTAAAATGCATATAACTGTTAAATAAATCAACCAGCCTGTTGAGAGTGCATAACCTATGCAGCTGCACATTGCAAAGCGCTTATGCAAATGCGTATGACATCACATTTCCGTGGGACGAATTCAACTCATGCCATGCTGAGTGTATTGCAGCACATGCAACGGACGCTTTCTTCGGAAACATTCCACGTATTCAATCTCTGGACGGCTTTGCGAGTACTCCGCAGCGGCAGCCCCGGAACCGAATTCAGCGATGAGAAGTCCGGCGCCTGTGAGACTTCATCTTGTCTAGACACACATGAGAGGCACCAGAGGTAGGGTGAGTGGGCCCATGTTGATGCAGTTGTGTTGCACTGGCACTGTCCACAATGGTGCAGGAAAATGATTAGGCCGGTGTATTTTGATAGCGTTTTGAGATGCGGAGTTCTGGCGACGCTGTCGAAGTGAGACCTACTCAGGTCCCAGGGAGCCCAAGATAACAAGATATCCAACACACGATGCCGGAGTGGGAAACAAGTATTGTGTGTGATTTGTTGATGCATGTTGTGCATATCCGTGTGCACGCGTTTGTGGTATGCAGCACGAGGCAACGGTTTCAACAGGCTCAATTTGCAATGCTTAAAACGCTTGGCATAAGCAGCATAGAATGTCCTTGTGATGTAGGCAAAAAGGATGTACGTAGTATGTTGCTCGGTATAAGAGAGAAACGCGCCCAACCTCTCAGCTCCTATTGTTTTTCGGCATGATGAGTTCGAGCCCAAAGATTAGCGACTTGCGGTCGCTTGACCCCAGGGGCAAATATTTCAATATTTAAATACCAGAGACGGATATATTTTTCTCGCTTATAGGTCAGTGGCTACCTGGTAACTAGCCACAACGGATTGGCCGAGCATAGAGCCTCGCGATCATGTTTTTACATGAGCAAGCAAAGCTCAGGCGAAATTGTTCATTCAACTGGGACGATGACCTCCGGGTAATGACCTGACTGCAGGAAGTAAGGTATCGTTAGCATTTCCTATGTGCCTGGTGTGATCGGTGCAGAGCATTCGGCATTTCTTCCTGTCTCAATTAGTTTTAAAAACCTCATGGCGTCACCTCAATGCAGTGATCTTCCCCTTTTCTTCCAGTCACCACCAAATGTCATGCTTCAAATCGCTGCGAAACCCGTTGTGTCTATGTATTTACACCAGCCGGGAATCAGCTTAGCAGCCTGACGAAACAAATGTGTAGATAATTGAAAAACGATATGGTCAACAAAATCATTCAGATTCTGAAATTATCTTGAGGGTACTCGGATTCAATGCTGAGGGTGAAGTCGTAAATAAAAGACTAACAGGACGAAAACGGGCTGCTAGAAAAAACGCAAAAATCTCAATGGGTTTTTCCGCGGTGTAACCACAGAGGACATCCTCACAACAAATGAAATACCGCTAGCTATTTGTAAAAGCCACCAAGCCGACATCATTGTTATTGCACACATAGCGAGTGTGAATCTGCTTAACTTAAGGACCCCAAGCTCGTTTAAGCATTCTTCCAGAAGCCCCGGCACTTTTCCGAGGCTTTGGAGAGAAATTTCCATCAGCGACATTCCAGCCGTGCCACCTGACATTTAACGTTCGAAAAAGCAGGATTCGCACAAATGCTGACATGCTGCATATCTATGGGCGCACAATGGATGGATGATGCTTGTATGCATGCACGAGTCGCACCATAGCGAAGCTGTATTGCGGCGGGCCATGGACAGAGGCAGGTACTGGCGGCATTAGGTATGTACATACGGAATGCCAGCTTTCCCAGCCTTTTGGATCCGGGAAACGAATGGCAAACATTTCTATGTCCCACCTCCACTGGTTTCTGTGGGCCTATCCTTGGTCTTTGTAAGTCTTGTGGAGCATCACGAAGTGGTCGGTTTTTACAATTCCATTTCGGCTCAACCTCAAATAGGTGCATCACGGTAAAGTTCCCAAAAGTCAGGCCTCAGACACGTGTCAGAGCAGCACCTCTCGGGAGAATATCCTCCCGGAAAACTGCGCTGATCACGACCGGCCCTGTGCACCGTGACGTCAAAATCCCGTGCCGCATACATAAGGAGCCGGCCGCTGGGAACTGCATACAGAAGCGTTTGGTGGCCAGACCAGACAGCAGACGAGAGTGGACTCTGGTCAGCTGCAGAGCAAGACTGTCAGTCAGCAATATGTGGAAACTGCTGGTCATCGCTGTTGTTTGTGTGCAGCTGTGCTGTGCACAGTACCCGAGATACCTTCGTTTCCCGGTGGGCAGAGGTAAGATCAAAGATACCATGCCATGGTGAATTTGCATATCCAATAATACCGCTTGCCTGTTTTATAGAGTCAATTCGCCAACATGAAAGCAAGGTGTCTCTTGATGAACAAAGCATCTGCACAGCTAAACAAAGCATACCCCATGCTTTGGCTCCGAGATCCTGAGCGCTTACCACCGACGTCTCTTTGTTGTCTTCAGACGACGACACCAAATGCCATGACAACCAGGTTGACAAGAAGTACAACATCGGTGATGTCTGGAGCTCCCCATTCTCTGGCTGTAAACAGAGTCACTGCGTCAAGGAGGACGGCGTTCTTTACATTGACAGATTCCAGTGAGTGTGAAATGCAGCCACCAATTAGCAGTTGGAGGTCGCAGCCTGGACATCCGGCACCTGCAATTCTTGCTACCCAAGTGAACCCATTTTGAAGAGCTCCTTAATTTCCAGCACCGAAAGTTGGTCTAGTCCACATCATGCAAATGTAAAGCAGGATTCGTATGACATACGTCTATTTTCACTGTCGTTTCAAATCATTAACGCGCTGAAAGTTTCTTGATAATCGGGGCCTGTTTGATTTTTTATTAACGTTATTATTTTACAGGTGTCCGTCGGTGAGAGAGCAGGTGGACTTCAAGAAGCTGAAGGCCAACAATCTGTTCTGCCGCGAGGCTCGGGGAGACAGGAGGAAGGAGTTTCCCGACTGCTGTGCCCGCCTTGTCTGTAAACACTACGTGGACGGCAAGCTTGTGCCGCTGCCGGCGCACAAATATCCCCTGCTCTAATCAGAGCTAGAGTGAAACTGCATTTGCTCGAGTGCGAACCTAAGATGTTTGAATATTTATCCGTGTATGCGAAGTTGGTGTAGCCGAATGTGCTTACTGCCATGAGGGCTTTCAGTTGGAGTCTTGTGATATTAGTACGAACTTTCAGTTATAGGATTTCGCGCATACAACGAGTCGCAAGCTTTGCTCAGCACCAATCTGATGCTCAGGTATATGTACGTTGAATCTGAATTAATGGGACCTGCTGGGACATCTGGGCAAGTCATTTTCCATAATGTCGTCGTCCATGGCAATACTATGATTATTCGTACACCGATGAAACGTTTGTGAGCAATATTACCAGTCAGATTCATTTCAACCATTATTCTTCATGCAAAGCGAAGCGATATCTATCGCCGGATGGAAGCGCAAATAAACGTGGAATTTACGACTTTTGAACGCATCTGAGATCTGCAACAAGAAGACAAAAAAATCGCAAATTTGTTTCTTCCATTGTGTGACAGATTGACAGCGGCAGCTACTTGGGCAGTGCGGCTTTCATTAATCCATCATCACTGTTGGTCGCGTTATACTCAGCACAAGATGGTTTAACCGGTACAAAAACGTGCATCATAGATGCTGATGGCAGCGGCCTCCCTCCTCCACAACTTGCGTGCTAAAACTCGACGATTTTTCGTAATATAACTTGTACTAGACCCGTCAAAATGGCTTTGGGGTGAATTTCAAGACTAACCACGGCCTACTCAAAGCGAGTGTTCTGTCTCCAACTCTTCCACGAACCTGGTCGATGTTTGACTGAAGCGACCTGTAAAACGGTTTACTTCATCAGACACATAGCATGCATCAGACAGACAGATAGCATGCAGGCGATATTTGAAAGTGCGAACCGCTCAGGGTGTCCCCAAGAATAAAAATTGGGAAGGCTGGGTACTTACCTATGAACATGGGCGATGCTAAAGGCGGAGGTAGGCAAAGTTAGCCAAAAGTTAAAGTTTGCTAAAGTCTGTCCGTAAAGTAAATCCGTGAATCTGCTAAAAGTGAACAAAGGATAAGGCTTTCCAGTTATCCGCTATTTTTTTAAGACCGACATGGCTGACATCCCCTATAAAACTGCTAATCTCATGCTTTGTCTGTGAATGTCTTGGGATCACATCACCCCATTTCCCTATCAGTCTGTTATTAAACACGGCGAATCAGGGCGATAATTATGATCACTTCTGTATAGCATCAGTATGGCGTACAGTGCGTGGCCTGCGTGTACGTGCGGCACTATATGCCACCATGCCACGTGCGTGCGTGGCATATAGTGTGCGCTCCCTTATAGTGTTGCACCAGTGCCAGTATTTCAGTTGTGCCCAAAGTGTATCACCGTCCGCTTAGCAATGACCTGAAGACGGTTGCGCTCTCCCACCATCGCGCTGAACCAGACCAAACATTGATATAGAGCTTTGGTTGCCGAGAAAAACTTGCTGACACCAGGGGCGGATGCAGGACTTTGGTTATACGGGAATTCATCTTAATGTGCGCAACCCTTGAAAAATTGGCGTGAGCACACACACATGGAGATTATTCATTTTCTCCAGCCTGCTTAATCCTTCATTTTGAGGCCCAGTTTGTCGGAAAAACATGGCAAAATAAACTAGAATTGGCTGCTAAATGAAACGAGATCAAGCGCGAACCTCACTCCTAGGTTATTTACAGCAAGCATCCTGGTCAACGTGATAAACTAACAGCTGATGACTAATGCAGAGTCTTTGCTTTGTGTATTATGGAGTACAAAAAATCTAAGTATCTAAAATGTACTAAGAACATGATGCACAACTCTAAAAGGTAACACAAATTCAACAACCAACATAAGCGACACATACAACGGAAGCGGCACGCAAAATTATGTTTGACAACTGCGCTTAACAATTCATTGTTGCATATCCGACTGATGCTGTAAGGCTAAGGTGCAAAGACCCATAGGGACGGAGCCTGTGCGATGGTGGGTGTTGCGGCGCGCCAACAAAGAAACTTCCCTCAGCAAGTAAAAGGCCCTCAGCGCAAGCGGGGAGAGCCCTAGACCAACGTGGTGGACCCCAAAACGATCAGGAGTGCCCTGGGAGGTCGACATATGTGGCCCCGGTCTGAGCACGTGGTCCTCTGAGCAAAGAGGAATTACACAATATCATGGTGCGGGAACTTATGCCCATGTGCGATCAACAATGCCTGGGTAGGTTAACAGAAAGTGCCTCGATGAAAGTTAAGTGCCCAAGGTCAAACAAGGTCAAGTTCCAGGTTGGTCTCCAAAGTGCCCCCAGGACGTAGACGTAGACGTAGATAGACTACGATAGATAGACGTAGACGTAGACCGTTTCTAAGCAAAAGGTTACATTCTCAGTTAAGGTCAGTGACCTTGTTTGACCTTTTGAAGGTCATGGTGACCAAAATCATACAAGACTGCTCTGAGTTTTGCATTTGAATAAGCGACAAAGATTACGCTAGGTGGTGTTTTCCTAAAAACAAAATGTTGATCTAGGTCATTTTAGGTCAATGACCTATTCTGACCTCTAAGAAGTCTATGAAAGATGTATAATGCGGTCCCTGCTATCAGTAAACTCGAAATGAGCCCCAGAAACTATCCGATACAGCAAGCCCTAGAGTAATAAAACAGGTTAGTTTTGACCTCGGTGTGACCTTCACACCTGACCTTAGGTCGATTTAATTTGCTCATTCAACTGTTGTGCTGCCTAAGAAAGCATCTCAGATATGTATGGCTTTGTCTAACACTCCGTTGTTTGATTAGATTGAACGATTCCCTTAAAATTGCTTTCGCTAAAACCATAACCTGAGTTTGACCCGCTATAGGTCAGCGACCTTACAAAGTACGTCTTAAGTGTTGATGCCAAACTATCTGCTACTTAATTGTGTACAGCTACACAAAATTTGGCGCGGCTTCGCCGTGCCGTTGGGAAACCATTCTGGAAAAACCTTCGGGGGGAGTCAATTTGACCCCCACCCGAGCGCATGTTAAGAGTACAAAGGAGCATGGTCCCGCCCCCCCCCCCTCTCCGCCTTCTAGGTCCGCCACTGACCCGAGCAGCTTAATAGATGGGCCTCGACAAGAACATAAGGTCATTCATTCAAATAAGAAGTGCCCAAAGCAAAATATGAAGGGCCCAGGAATGATCGAGCGTGCTCGAGCAGGCCAACAGATGGCGCCCCCAACAAGAGCATGGGACCCTCCACTTAGATAACAAATACCCCAAAAACAATAGGGCGTAGGGACACGTGAGTAGGGCTCTCCATTCAAATACAAAGTACCCAAGACACAATGCTAAGGGCCCCCGAGCGATTGTGTGTGGCCCGAGCCCCCAGACAAGAACGTAGGGTCCTCCATTCAAATAAGGAATACAACGCAATGCAGAGGGCCCCCGAACAATCCAGTATGCCCGAGCAGGTTAATTTGGAGGGCCCCGAACTATAGACTGTGCCCAAGCAGGTTAACGGATGGGCCTCCGACAAGAGGATAAGGCCCTAAGCAGGTGCCAAAGAATTGGACGGGCCCTAGATCAATGTGGAAGGCCCATGCCCGTATCGTGAGTGTGACGGTAGATTATCCGAAATTAACGTGAAGGGCCCCTAAGCAACCGAGAATGCCGAGGCAGGTTAACATATGGGGCCCCGGCTGTAGCGTATAGAGCCTGTCGGGCAAATGGGGGATCAGTGAAAGGCCCCTGATTGACAGGGGTGTCCCGGTGCTCTAGCAGGAAGGGCCCCAGCAACAGAGCAGGGCCCTCCGAGCAAATGCAAAGAAGTCAGGGGCAATCTAGAAGTGCCCTTAACGATCGCATTGACTTTGCAACTGATCATGTACGGCCCCGGAAACAGTGTACGGCCTCTGGACAGCGCAATTAGCATTGAAGCCTCCAATCCCTATCTTCTCAATGAGCGAAAAATTATTTTCATCTGCTCTTAAGCCCTTCGTTTTCACTTGCCATTGTTCTTTCGTCGCGTTTCGTGTAGAAAACTGTGTCTGTTCGACCGGCTTTGGGCCTCTTCGTAGCCTATGCGCCCCTTGGGGGCCCAAGGAGGCATGGTCCCGTGCCCCCCCCCCCCCCCCCGCCTTCTGGATTCACCTTGGCGGACACTGATGTCTCGCGTAGTGCTTCTACACCGCTGCTTAATCGCTAATAGGGATGGACTTCTCAAAAATAATTAACGGCATAATTATACGGGAGCTTGTCGCATGTTTCCAATTCATTTGGTATCCCTTTTTGGCTGAATTTTCTGAGAAGCAGTAACCTGACAGCTTAAGCTTAGCTATAAGGTTGTGTCTCAACACAGGCCCGTTGGGGCATGAGTGCCGCTTTGAGGTGCATCCGTTGAGGTACATCCGTAGAGGTGTTTTGGCAAAGGTGATGCGTAAAAATCGACACATGTCATGAGTTTAAAACTTGTTAAGGGGGAGGGAACGCAAGTTAAATGCATCTTGCTTGTTCTACGTATCTTGATAGTTGGCAGGCTCAGTTCCCTTGCATTCCATACCACGATGTGAGGAAATACCGCCTTCAGCGTCTGCTGAGTAGAGATCGTGGCAATGCGCTTTCGTCGGTGTGTAATGTAGTCTTTGCAACTAGACTGAGAAAAGTTCCTAATGGTTACTTGGCACCTGATGCTCATTTTCTACCAATTTGAACAAGACCATCATTGCAAACTATCACGAGTAAATATCACACTATCAACAGATAGACTTCAGTGGACGGTGAACGGTAAGGAAGTCTGGAATACGAAAATGGTACATGGGCAGGATACCAGACCAGTAGGCAATGATCGGGACCTAAAAAAGAAAAAGCATTAAGTGTAAGTAGTGAGCAGTCAAATGTTGTGCGCTTAAACCCAATTCTGTTATCTTAAACATGATGAAAATGGGGTAATGTTTCCATCTCTTTGTGAATAGTGACATCCCCTCCACCCAAGTGGAAAGCAGCTTCAGGACACTGTACTATCGCGGGGCCTTACCGCGGCGGGCCATGAGCGGAGGCAAGTCTCGGCGGCATTAGGCATGCGTGTGCGGACCACCAACTTTCCAGCCTTCTAGATCCGAGAAGCGGTTGGAAAAGTATTTCTACGTCCCACCTACGCTTGTTTCTGCTGTCCGATCCAAGGCCTTTCTTTGCCGTTTGCAGCACTGCGGGGCGGTGGTCTTTACACCGGATCCCATCCCGGTCCGACCTCAAATACGTGCGTCACGGTGAAGGCCCCCCTAAAGCCGGGCGTCAGACACCTGTAAAAATTAAGAATTAGTCTCCATTTAGTCTCCAATTTCCAATTTCCAATTTCCAGTTTCCAATTAGTCTCCTGTAAGAATCAGTCTCCAACTTTTCCGCAATACCTGGTCGATGTTTGGCTGAAGTGGCTGAAGTTTGGCCAACCTATTCTGACC